TAGATTTTTTTTTTTTTTTATGAAAGGAAATAAGGGGAGAGAGAGAGAGATGGGGACTGGCATGCAACAAAGGTTCCTGGCAAGACACGTTCCAGGGATGTTCTGGTTCATGATCAGCGACTCAACCCCCAGGCTCATACCTGCAGTAGTTCACCTAATCAGCCATACAGAATTGTTTGGCAGCATATGTGTGGGTTTTAGCTTAAATCCTCTTGTGCTGTAAGATTTGTGACAAAAGAGAAAACACAGCATTATAAAGTTGGTGACTGCAGTGATTAGCAATGTAAGAGAAGCAAAAACTGAGTTGAAATTAATTAAAGTTTTTGAGATGAATTAATTGATTAGTAGATACAAATAATCAGCAGCAATTTTGATCATTGACTGACAATACTTTGAGCTAAATGCTAACATCAGCATGTTAACACTCACAAGAGCAATGCTAACATGTTGATGCTAAACAGATTTACCGTGTTCGTCATCTTCCTTGAGCATGCTAGCATGCCAGCAGTTGGTAATTACCACTGAATGCAAAGTACAGCTGTTTAATGGAAAATGTCATTAACTGTGCAGGTGTGTGGTCAGGATAAAATTCCATGGCAAACCTTTCAATACTTGGTGAGATATTTCAGACTGGAGCAAAGTGGTGGACTGACTGACTGACTGACCTGGAGCCATGCTGCTTGCATGGTTAAAAATGGTTCTAGCTTTTCAAATGTGAGGATCGTCTGCTCTCCTCTCTTTTATGTCATGATAATTTAAATGTCTCCAGGTTTTGGGTCGTTGGTAGGAAAAAAAAATGTTGTTTTTGTTGCCTTGGGCTGTACGAGATTGTGAAAGGCATTTTCAATAAATTCTGTTATTTCATTCACTAAATGATTAATTGAATAATCAAAAAGAAATGAATGAATTGTTTTTGAACCAGTCTCGACTGAGAAAGAAAACAGAATCGATCTCCTCAGTCTGAAAGCTGTGGTCTTGTGTCGTAGAGGTGACATTGGATGGGCACCATAAACCCTGTTGTAGTTGTGGGATTGAGGCTCAGTGTATGAAGGTGGTGTGTGACTCTGGGAATTTATTTGGCAGGGTTATGCTGAGGTGGAGGAAAGCTAGGCTGGATTTAGCTGCTCACTCTTCCATTACACAGTCTTTGTTCACCGATGCCCGAAGGAAAACAACATGATTTCATACTGTCAGAAAACAGATTCTTTTCGAGTTTGACGGTTAAAAAAAATACACAGAATAGAGAATTGTATGTAGTTGATCAGTGGATTAAATGAGCAACGTAATGAGATGTCCTAGTTTGTGGAGTCACTTGACATCAGTCAGTCCACAGTAGTGGGGCTCTGTTAAAAAAAAAACCTTTATAGATGGCTAAACAAGAACCCACCAATCAGTACGCTCCCTCCAGCTGAACCCAGCTCCCTGCTGCTGTGAAATTCCCTCTGTACTGCTGACCTTAATGTTGCACAGGATAATAGCATGCAAGTCCCAGGGGAGAGAAATAGTAGAAACCCTCTGTTCCTTCTGTGCCTGTGTGTGTTTGTGGAGGTACATATTGTATATAATGTCCTTATTAGAATTTGTGGTTTGCATGTGGTCAAAGTAAACCTATGGGTCTGGAATACATGTGTTTACTGAGCCAAGACACTCAAAAGACAAGACCTTCCTTATATTGATTCTTGCAAACCTGGTTGTGCGTCCCCTAAAAATACATCTGAAAAATTGTTTTGCGACTCCTCTTGGTACAATTCAATTCAGCCATATTGATTTTTTTTGACATATCAGGCAATGCAGAGCTATTGACAAAAGAATCACACATACACACGAAGGAGCAGCTCTGTAATACCTCAGTCCTATACACAGGTTAGTGAGCAGCTCCAGTGGAGCAGCTGGGAGGTAGGCACCAAGCACAAGGGCACCTTGACGCCTTTCTCTTATACATCCATTTGCCAATATATTTGGCAAATATTGACATTTAATCAAATATTGATCCTTCAAATAGTCTCATGTTGATAGCCACAAGAAAAATATCAACTGATTTTGTTTCTTTTAATTCTGAACATCAAACAATGCATTGAATTTTCTAGCTTCATTATTAATGCAGTGATTAACTCTGATTGTATTTTTAAGAACAAACCAGTGATGTTTCAGAAGCATTCTGTGATTTTTGTCCTGCGCTTTAAACATTCATGACTAGTATGGAGGTTGCAGTGCTGCCTACTACCACCTCGCAGCCCATCCACAACTTCAGATGCAGGAGCAACTGTCACAAACACGCCCTCTTTGTGCAGCCGGCACAGACAAGTCTGTCATTTGATATTTGGCTCATGCTAAGCAGAGGAACAGCTGCAGGGCACAGGAAACAGAGAACAGGGAAGACAGTAGCTGCGTGAGTTGTTTCTGACAGCTCCTCCTGTTGTGCTAGTATCAGTCCCTTTAGGATTTGAGTTGTTTCTCTCTTTTCCTGCTGGCCGAAACTCTTTGGCCACCAAATGCAACTCAACTTGCTGTTCATTCATAGGAAAAGTTTAGATTGGGTGAAAATTTCAACTCACAGTTCCAGTGAGCTCTCCTACATGTTGACTTTTGGAAATTGTTATGGCTTGTTTTGAGTGTGAATAAAAAATATGGTACCGTGGAAGTGTGCTGCAAATTTTCCATTATTTCAGATATTATTGAAGGATTTTGCAAAGCCAAGTCAATTTTGCAAATTTGCCAATTCCTTGAGGGGAAACCTAATTATGACAAAATGTCCAAACACTCACCATTCCACTCCATCTTTCAAAAGTCCTTTAGCAGCTCTGAGCTACTGTAATCCCTGCCAGTGAAACAGACCGTTTCCCAGGCAACCTCAGTCCTTCCACCATGGCAGCTGTAACTGTGGCGAGGAGACACGGAGTGCCAGAGTGGACAGGTGTTGCTGGGGTCTTCGAGATCACTTTAGGTGTTTCAGCCCTGCCTCCAATGTCGTTACACATGTGGAGCAGCGCTAACAAGCCGCTCACACACAAACACACTCAATATGCCGCTCCTCTATTCTGCTATCTGAACTGAGACTGCTGAGTTACACTAATGTTCTGTGTCATGCTCATGTCGAATTAGACAAGCACATGCTTCTCTTGCCAGCTAGGAGCAGGGGGTCCACATGGCTGCATGTTTTTTTTTTTTTTTTTTTGTTAGACAGACATACTGCAGGTATGAGAAATGACTCATATTCAGTGAAATGTGGTAACCTGCTGTAGGGCAGAGTAATGGGACACTGCACAAAAAGTCAAACAAGCTCTCATTACCTTTTATCCAAGCAGAACATGGGGACCGCCACTGAAATTGTTCCTAGAAAATGGTGAGGGGGAAATATAATGTGTGCTGGAAAGCAATAGCTGAGAGAGTGTCCATTTACTAGCAAGAGCGTGTGCATAGCATGAAGGAAAGATAGTTCTCTTACTGAGTCAGTGTGGCGAGGCGCAAAATGTCTATTTCAGGGCTTGTTTTAAGTAGGGTGAGTCACCAGGCTTTTGGAGCACTAAAGGCTGCATGTGTGTGTGTGTGTGTGTGTGTGTGTGTGTGTGTGTGTGTGTGTGTGTGTGTGTGTGTGTGTGTGTGTGCATGTGCGTGTGTATTTTTATGTGATACCACTGTCCCTTTCTCACTCTCCCTCTATCTCCGTCACACATACGCAAAGACACACACACACGTGCCTGCCTGGAGGGTGCAGGTCTGTGACAGGTTAGGCATTTTGGGTATGGGCCATCCTCTCTCTGTCTTTCCCTCAGCTCCAAGCAGCGAGCTGGCTCTCGCACGAGGGACAGGCAGCGACTTCAATCTGTTTGGTAAATACTGGGATAAGTAAGGCCCACCCATCACCACGGCAGAAAATAGCCCAGGCCAGACCTGCGAGTACAAAGATAGCATGCCATGCTGAAGGCATGGAGAGGATGTACCTTCCAGAGAGAAGAATATCATCGATGAAAATTTGCTATTTTAAGATATTAGAGGGTGTGAAGGAAGCCAGAGTGACAGACAGACAATGAGAGAAAGAGAAATGGACAGACAGAGGGAGAAAAGCAAATGAGAGATGGGAGCCGCCTCCTACTGCCAGTGAAATGTCAATGGAACCCTGGGGATGCATTGATTAACCTCTCTACTCCTAATCTGCCTTTTTCTCCTCCACCTCTCACTGAAGGCAAACACACAGGCTGGTTGTACACAGATGGACCCGCAAGCCAGCTTTGCATAAACAGGCCACAGAGTAGTTGAATGGACAAGGCTATTAAAGCTGTTTTCAGATGAAAATTGTTTAAAAACTTCTACACGTCTGGATTCTATTTATTTCTGTTGAATTCAATTCAGTTTAGTAAATTGTGATTCATTGTAGGGTGACAAGCAACCTATTTCTGTTACCAATTAATTTAACGATTATTTTTTCAATGAATCGATTCATTGTTTGGTCCATAAAACATTCATCAAAATGATCATTATCATTTCCAGAGCCGAAGGTGATGTCTTCAAATACTTAACCCTGCCGAATAGCTCTAATTCAATACACATTTGACTCCTACATGTGGAAATTTATAGGAAATGATTTAGTAATTTACAATCATTACAAACCTACATATAATGCATGCGTCACATAATAAAAAACAAGACATTACAGACAATCAGATTGAATTTTTATTGTATATTGTGCAACATGTTAATTGGTTTACGCAGTTAAATCAGCGGTATAAAGCTTAAAATCCCCAGTGTTGAAAATCCAACAATTCATATTACATTTTATGGGTTATGCTAACGTAAATTTTGGTGTGCACCACACTAGCAAGTGCCTACTTGATTGAAAGAGGTTGTATTCATTTAATTTTGGCTCACTGTAATTGCCCAGGCTTTCACTTTCAGGATTTCTCAGTTTAATACAAAAATTCCATAATCCTCTAATTAAGAAAGTCCAGAAACTAACTTTCCTCTTGTCCCCCTCTCCCTCTTTTCTCATCTCTCACTCACAGTTTGCTCCCAGTTCTCCAAAGGTGTGTACGCCATCATCGGTCTGTATGACAGGAAGACAGTCAACATGCTCATGTCCTTCTGTGGAGCGCTGCACGTCTGCTTCGTCACGCCGTCCTTCCCCATCGAGACGGCAAACCAGTTTGTCATCCAGCTGAGGCCTGAGCTGCAGGACGCTCTGGTGGGAGTGATCGACCACTACGGATGGACCAAGTTTGTCTACATGTACAGTTCTGATTCAGGTGGGAGACACAATTTATTTAGCCTTTATCTTAACTGTGTGATTGAAGTCATTTTGGTAGGGAACATTTTTATTTTTATACTTTTACTAAATGTAAAATTTATCTTTTAGCATCAACGTTTTATGTTTTACCACAGTCTATTAAATACAAGTCAGCTGTGCAGCTGTACTACATGCACATGAAGACATTCAGATCCAGAACCAGTCATTAAACCAACTACCATTAGTCGTCTTCAGATTGCCATGGTGACAGCAATGGGGTCAATTGTAGCCATTGTGCAGAAATGAGCAGCCGTCAGAACATTTATTTTAGACCGACGTCTCTGCACAGACAGCAAACACAGAAAAGAAACATTGACCTACACTGACTAGCAGATAAATCTCACAATGGAACAAAAGATTAAGCTTTTCATTGAGCAGCCCGCCACAATAACCAATGTCACAACAGTCCCTTTTACAGTGCAACGTTGCAAAAAAGAAAGAAACAAAAAACGGAAAACTTGCTGTAGCATTCTATTTAAACATCTTAATAGTGCTCTTGCAGAGGCAGACAGAAATAAAGTAGCACACCTGTCAACCTCCTGCTTCCTCCTCTTCATCTCCTCTCGAGCCAATCACCTGTACCCTTCCCATAATGCCATGCCATCTGTCCCAGGTGTTGTGGGTTTTTGGAGCATGACCATGATGTGTGTATTTGTGTATTTGTGTGTGTGTGTGTGTGTGTGTGTGTGTGTGTGTGTGTGTGTGTGTGTGTGTGTGTGTGTGTGTGTGTGTGTGTGTGTGTCTGTGTGTGTGTGTGTGTGTGTGTGTGCGTCTGTGTGTTTGTGTCCCAAAGCATGCACATTTTATTTTTGTATGCGCTTTTTGCAGATGCAAATTTGCATGTGACAACATCAGGGCTTACTGCAACTATTATCTGCTGATGTTTTTGACTCGTGTGAGAGAAATAAACAAACTTAAGCCAGCTTTAAAAGACAGATGCCATCATGTCACTCTGCACAGCGCACTATGAAGCGTTGACAGGGGAGATTTCACAGTGGTCTCTAGTCCTATTGATGTATGACGGCCGTAGCGCCACACATGTCCCACAGATTTTTTTTTTATCTTCTGTGATCCATTCATTAGCCACTCACAAACTGTTTAGTAGTGTGTGTGTATGTGTGTGTGTGTGTGTGTGTGTGCAGGGTCACCCCTGTGTGATTGAGTGGTGGGATGGAGCCAGTGGAATCCATATCAGTAGTCCTCTGTTGCCTGGATACTATGCTGCAGTCACCCTTCCTACGGGGTTATTTTAAGCCCTTAAGAAAAATCATATTTAGTTGTGAGGAATTTGTCTGGTGTGTGTGTGTGTGTGTGTGTGTGTGTGTGTGTGTGTGTGTGTGCGCATGGAGTGTGCTTCCTCCAATGTCAATATCACCTCTTGGTGATATTGCCTATGAAGCTCTCTAGTTTCTAGTCTAATATATTTCTCTTCTATACATATTTATATTTCTAGTTTTCCAGGTTTCTTAGTCCATAATTAGATGTGGACAAGGACAGACACATATACTATTTGCATTATCACTTTCCTGCCAACTCTGTAGCTTTAACATCTTCCCCTTTTTCTATTAACATCTGTCTTACCAGTCAGCATCTGCTAATAAAAATGCCTCTCATTTTTATTATCAAAAGCCAAGAACGGGAAAACAAATTTGATAGCCCATTAAACCAATCATAAACAATATTCAGGAAATGGTTTCCCAAAGTGTTATTTTCTCTTCTCACAATTGCCTGGTTCCCAGGTCTCCATGTAGTGCCTCTGGCCAAAAGGGTGCGTATGACAGCCAGATTCTATTATGATATTATACTCTTTCAGGATGCTTTTGGAGGACCATTTTTACCTTGGCTAGTCCTATGAGCCTCTCTGTCAGCCTGGCTCTGATTTATAGGGGAGCATCAGGGCACATAGCTACATTTAAATAGGCAAGAGGATATTCATTGCAAACACAATGAGCCAAAAAAAAAGGGAGTGAAGCAGAGGAGGAATGAGGACCAGAGGAAAATTATGGAAATAGTACAGCCACTTTGATAACACTGAAGGAAAGCTGACTTCAGGTCTCTTTGTAATGCATTACAGCACAGAACATTGTCAACACTAAGCACTAATGAGTTTCAAGCAGTAGTTTTGTCTCATCTTGACTGCTGCCCAGCTGTATGCTCAAGTGCCGGAACATAATGTACATAATGCAGAACCAGATTCATAAAACAAATTAACACATAAAGATAGGAGAGATGAACGATAGTTACAAAGGGAGGAACAAATGAATAAAAAGATAGAGACAAGTGAACTGCTTTAGACACAGCCTCCTTTTCAAAGCATGATATAGTGTGGTGCTGTCCATGGTGCTGAAACTCTCCACTGACACCAGGACTCAACTCCATTCAAGAACAGTTGTCCATTCTCCTCAGGACCCACTGACTTTATTCATGGTCATGATTAACGGCCTGCTGTGTTCCCATGTCTATCACCAGTTTCAAAGCTACTATTAAACCTGTCAGTGCCAAGGAATAGTTATTCTCTCTTGAACAACAGTGAATAGAGAGAGACACCATAAAAGTTGCCATACGTCTCTATCTACCTCCCCAGTAATGCTGGGTATCATTTCCATTCAACATCCCTGCATTTTCCTGCTTGTCTAATTTATTTACATGTACTGTATTGTGGTCATATGTGCAGGTGAAAAACCATCCATCTTTTCATTTCTTAATGACCTTGTGTCAAATAGGCAGCATGAATTGCCTGGAGAGCAGCTGGTGTGCATTCTATTAAGGTTGGGCAATAATCTTTCAGAGGCTGTGACTGTATTTCTCATTCTTCTTTTGACAAGCTGTGTTGTTGTTGTTGTTGATGTTGTTGTTGTACTGAATAAGCTGTTTTTACATTTGCTCAATGTGCATGAAATGCCTGTATGAACATGAACAAACAAGCATGGAGGATAGGCAAAACACATCATGTACAGGCCCACGGTGGCTTTAGTAGTGTTTGCCAGCTTAGTAGGGGGAAAAAAAACAAATACAACTACATCATGTATTAGTTTACATTTCTAAATTTTGTAATTGCTATAATTCATTTGGGTAATGGCTGCCAGTCTGCTGCGGGTGAAATTACTTTATTTAGTCTCTGGAACTACAGTGGCTGCCAGCTTGAGAGGAATCTGATTGGTCTATTGCCAGCAGCAAAGGAGTACAACAGTGAGTCAGATTGTAAATCAGAGCTCAAGATCAATGTGTTCTCTAATCGCCTTTTATTTCCTGTCTTAGCATGAGCCCCTAACTCATTGGATGCTCTTCCTCTTTCTCCATGATGCTCAAGAGTCTCAGCAGCGTATCGGTGACAGTGTAATTGACTAGCGCCACCTGTAATTGGGGCTTAGATGGTGTAAAGCTGGCTGTGAGCGTGTCATCTGCGATGATGCACGGGCTGATTATTTGTTTGTGTGAAAGTGGTGATTATTTAGGCCGGCGCTGTACGAGCTGGAAAAGCACACCTGTACATGTCAATGTGCTTAATGGACTGTCCCTCGTTACACTTTATCACTGAAGCTACAGGGGAGATTCTGATGGATAAGCTTATCACGAGCAGTTTGGTTTTCCACACGGCTTCTGTTTTGTTCTCAATTTGTTTTAATTTATCTTTCAGCTGATAATATAACTACTTGCAGTATAAAATTTGCCTACACATAATTTATGTCTCATGCTGCCTAATAAAATACAGGATCACTTTCAGTAAATGAACACCAACTATCATTCATCAGTTCATTCATCTTGTTTGCAGAACTTTTGGTGTAAAGACCCACACATTTAACTCCCACAGTTTATCTTCTCCAGTTGAACAAGAACTTTAGTTCTTGAACATTTCCCAGAGAGTTTCACTTTGTCCCATTCCTCTCACCAGGCCTGTCAGTGCTGCAGAAGGTCCTGGACACAGCAGCAGAGAGGAACTGGCTGGTTACCTCGGTTAATGTGGAGACCATGACAGAGGCCTCTTTCTTGAAAGTGTTCCAGGATTTGGACAAGAGGAAGGAGGGCCAGATTATCATCGACTGTGAGACTGAGAGGCTCACTGGCATCCTCAAAAAGGTAAAGAGCTTTTCTCTATTTTTGCAGTGATAGGGGATTATGTAATTTTATTGGAATTTAAAGTATACTGTATATACAGTATAAGCTGCAGATAATACAAGTAGGAATTTTTACATGATCAGTGATTTTCCCTTTTGGACACATATCAAGCTTATAAACTCAGTCATTAGCCTGCACATTAATTTTAAAAGACAGAAAAAATATATTGAACACATTTTTAAAACACATAGTTAAGATCAAGGCCGTGCATGTTTTAATCAAATGAACAAAGGAGAGAGGCAGTGGGGGTTGGTTGGCGGTCTGCTGTTGCGTTTGGTCTCTGGAGCATCAAGGACAGGAGCAATAAATAACACAGCATTGGCATTTGGAGCCGACAGTTCTTCTGTGATAGCATCATCACTTACTCACCTCTGTCCTATTCAAAGAAGAAGGATTCTGACGTCTTCCCCTGAGCAGACATTGTCCAATCACAGCTTAGCAACCGTAACTAGGCATGGTAGATCTGTCGAGCTTGGGATTTTACTGCATGTTGAAGAGGCATACATGGAGCTGCAGTACGAGTTCAACTCAGCATTTAAATAGTTTGGATATTTTTTGTTGCCTTTCAAAAATCGAAAACACAAAAAAAATTGGCAGAAATGGATTAAACAGCTCTCTAACGTTCAATAGATGTACTAACTAGCTTACTTCTAACAGTAGTAACCATGCATTACTTCCAAGGCCAAGGAGCATTACATTGAGTAACTGTGGCAGTTAACCTCTTACTCGCTATATTATATGCTCATTATATGCCAGTTAGGAAATAAAACATATTTCTTAAAATTAAAGTAAAATATAAAAAGAGTATGTAGGCTAATAAGTAGTTAAATGAAGATTACATTTACCGTTTTCATACTTATAATACTAGGACTAACTAACTCTACACTCTAGTACAGAACAATACTTGACGTAGTTATTCACATCTTCTACATGAATAATCAGCTGGTAAAGGGTTGCTGCTGAGCTTTTTTGCCTGGTACCTGTTAGCTTTAGCCTCAGTCTTTTAGCATGATATATTGCATATAACTATCAAGTGCACCTATAAAATCCCTTTAACAGGGTTCTGCCACGAACAGTTGTCTTTTCAGCAGGCTAGAAATGTGAAGCCTGCTTTTGTCTGTCTGAAATCAAGAACCCACTGCTTCAAAAATAACCAAAAACAAAAAAGCACACATGTAATCTTAATAACGTGCTCGCCACTTAGGTCAGCAAGGTCAGCTAGCTGGCTCACCTGGCATTTGTTGGACCTGTGCTTTTCATACTATGACAAGTCAAATGTCTGCTATGAGAAAGGTGTTATAAACTACACATATGCCATGTGATAACGTAAAGCTTTGACACATAAATATAACATTAATATAACACATTTGTTATTTCTATTGTTTTGCTTGTTGATGCCACTTGATTTATGATTTTCAGGCAGGCTGTAATCGTTTTTTTTTAGTTTTTTTTTAGTTTTTTTTTTCTGTTTCAATACATTGTTGTTTATAAGAAAAAAAGAGTGTACACACACACACACACACACACACACACACACACAAACACACACACACACACACACAGATAGTCACCATCTGTATGTGTAGGCTACACTCTGTGTGAACATTATTGATGGCCTAGTGTCTACAGTTAAGGTTATTGCATGGGTTCTCACCAGTTTACAGGAGCTGAGTCTGAGAAGTTCTCCATTCAGACGGCCACCATCAATCACCCACATCTGCTCCCTGCCGCCACGCTGCCCTGCCCGTGCACCAAAACAATGGCGCACACATACAGTACATATACACAAACACACACAACAGCTCTGCCTCTTTTGCCCTTTAAACTCACTGTGTTCATCTCATTCTACTCGTACAGTACACAGATTCTCTTAAGATAATGTCACTGACAGTATCCTGAGGCTGGCTTCTCATGTAGGCTGAATGTTGATGAAGAGTCCTCAGAGAACAAATATTGTGACAGTACAGGAATCTCAGAGTCTGGTTTCCTACACAGAGAGAAACAATTGACCCGTTCTCTTGGGCCTAAACTCAGAATGACTCCTCAAATCTGCATGTATAATTAAAAATTTACTCTCATCCAAAACATTTCCATTTGACAGTCAGTCCACTGTGGCAGAAATGTGTGTTTTTCCCCGGTGTTGGTTGTATTGATGTCAGTGCTCGTGTGTGTGTGTGTCTCCTCCTTCCCTCTAGATTTTCCTTGCCCGGGGCTCGGCTGCGGGGCCCGCCTTGTGCTGGGGTCACCATTAATAACAAATACCACCTTCTGTCATGACCTACAGCATCATTAGACACACACACGTAACACACAAACAAATGAGTACACTCGACCAAGTATGCATAGGGGAAAATGCTCACAGAGAGGAAGAGGTGTGAGGTCATGCATAGTGCCTAAACAGAGACAGTGCAATTTTTTTTTCCTCTGTGCTAAGACTATTAATTGGATGGTGTGTGTTTTAAATTAGTGCTGCCCACTCAGCCTTATGTTATGTGATTGCCCAGTGTGTTGTGATGACACATACGCACTGACGTGCACAACAGGCTCTTTATTTAGGCACAGGTGATTGAGACATTCAACTTGTGTATCACCACCTTGAAGTGCCTGTTTCATTCATAAAAAAAATAAAATAAAATAATGGTTCTGGCACTACACTACACTACACAACTCTCACTGTGATGTTCAAACTGCCTTGACCCTAGGTGCTCGGCTGACCTGTGTCGCCCGGCCGTTAGAGAATGACAGCAGTGTAGGCAGAAGAGAAATGGAGTGTACAGCAGGCGTAGGAGAGGGGCTTGTGCACAGTTCAGCCCTGAAAGACTGCATTATTTGATGGTATTGTTAGCCCATGAAGGAGTTCCAGGGAAGTAGAGTATTGTAAGTTATTTAATATTAGATCAAAGATCAAATCAGAGCTCTCAGGGGAACCATACTGAAAACAGAGGAAAGAGCACGAGGGGGAGGGAAGCAAATATAGTAGTGTGCACAGTATTTACAAACTGATGACTAATTACAATTTTGACAGTTTGACTTGGCAGTTTACTTGCATTAAATATGAATTTATTTATTCATTCATTTTCTACTACTTTTTAAACCTGTGACAGTTCTATCAGATTCCTCTCAATCTGATAGAAAACTGTACAGTCAATCAATTAATATTTCCTGTTTTCATTTAATTATTTATTTTGTGATAAAAATGAATAGTCCTTTCTTTTTTAATGTTCAGCATGGGATTTTATAGGGTGTGACTGCCTTTACGTGTGGTTATGCATTGTAATTTTTATAGTTAAGTGAATTCATTAATTTTGTTTCCATTTTAATATATGAATAGTATTAATGGTGGGAGTGTGTGTGGTAGATATAATGTGTTTGTGTTTTATTTTGTTGTGGTTAGTGGGTGTCTGGCAAAAGGCAACAAAGTTGTAAGAAACAGCATTTTAATACATTTCATCACAGAGGAGAGGAGAGGAGAGGAGAGGAGAGGAGAGGAGAGGAGAGGGGAGGGCATTTTAGTCATAGTTGTTCCTAACGGACTCCAGAACTGTCATTTTCTTTCACCTACTTTCATAACTGTTATTATGTGGAGTTGGTAATCCGTTAATATGTTGCCTTTTTACACAAAGATTCAAGCTGACATTTGCGAAGTTAGCCACCTTTTTATAAAGTGGTTCTTTCAATGTTCAGTCTCTTTGCTCTGATTTCCTATGAACCTCCCTTCCTTTCTGTCTTGCACAAGGTCAAGTACGTACACTGTACCAGGCGCGCTGCTGAGACGCTGTCAAAAGTCTCCCCGTGCTGTCTTAGTTGCACACACACACACAAAAACACACACAAACCGACCTTCTGTTTTTGCATCACAGGTATTTGATTCTTTATTTCTCCTCTACCCTTGTCTTTCAGATTGTTGAACAAGGCAAGAATGCAAAGAGCTATCACTACATCCTGGCTAACCTGGTAAGGAATTATCATAATCACAGCACTGGATTTTTATCCATCTAGATTTCTTTGGAGATTTTCCACATGCATCTCTACATACTTTCATACCCAGACGGTATTTGCATTGCTGTTAAATGTGGCTTTGAACAGGATTCCAGACTTCCAGTACTTTATAACCAGTTCAATAGACTTGTATGCGCCTAAGAATTTAGCCTTAAACAATCTGGTTTTGTGTCTCTCAAGTTATTTCATCCCATTTTCCTCTCCAGCTACATCAGATATTCTTTCCCCGCACTGTCAAACCTGTAGACGGAACAACAGCACAGTAGTAGACTTACAGTGAGGCACAAGTGGGAAACCTGTGACAGCCGGAGACAGAAATCAATGCTGACTCACAGTGACAGAAAAAGGTCATGGAGCCAATGTATGCAAGCTTATATCCATTAGCTCTCTCTGTCTGCTGCCATTTTCTCAGCGCAAATGGTATGTAGACCCCTACAGCACTGTGCAGACACACTAAACGCAGCCAAATGAAGAGAAAATTGACATCAACAGAAGCTGTAGTAATAACAGTATTAATATGCAGCTGCTGGCTTGAACAATTTCTCACTGCTGGGGTTTTTAGATTGGCTCAATCTCTCTTGTCTGGCCAGTTTGCCAGATTTAATTTTAAATGATAAGACTTGGACGGTAATAACAGCTGATGCGCAAAGTGGCCATCGTCATTTATAATGGGCCCGTTAAAAGGTGTGTGTGCAGAAAATTTTACTTTTTCTATGTCCTTGCACCTTTTTATTATTTAACTAATTTACTTGTGTCTACGTTTGCAGCTGTGTGTGTGTGTGTGTGTGTGTGTGTGTGTGTGTGTGTGTGTGTGTGTGTGTGTGTGTGTGTGTGTGTGTGTGCGTGCGTGCGTGTGCCTATCTGAAAAAAACAGAGCATAGTGCAATAGAGAGAAGAAGAAAGAATTTGAACACATTCTTAAATGTGGTTAAAATATCTGTCTGAGATACCCCCTCCATGACCAGTGTTAGAAAGGCTAGTTTCTATAGTAACCTCTTCAGCTCACTGCACTGCATTAGCTCACACATGGAGCAGAAAAAAAAGACAACTCTGTCTGTTCAGCTGAGAAATATAGACACCTGGCAACGCACACAGGTACATTAGGGAGACGCTGGTGAGAGGAGAAGGGGGATTGAACGCTGCTCCCCTTTTCCCTTGCTTCCATTCGTCTCCTGAAGCTTGAGCTACACTTCGTTTTGTTCCAGTCCGACCTTTCGCCAAAGATAAAGGGCATCAAACAATTTAAACGTTGCGCTACTTAACAGCCAGCCTTCATCTGTCCTTACTGTATGGATATGAAGATCAGAGAAAGTAAACAAGCGAGAGTTTGAGACAGACATACGGCCAGGAGAGAGCCGAACATCAAATGGCATGAAACAAATAACATCATAGCAGGGAAGAAAGAAGAAAGGATAGAGAGGCGCGTGTTGTCAGCCGGATGCCTGGCGAGCAGGAGACAATCCAGTGAGGCACCTTTCCTTCTCATCAGTCAAAACTTTGCTCTTAAATCTTAGACAAATCACAGACAAATCTTCTCGCCCCCTCTCCCGCCCCGTCTCTACTCCCACCCCATTCCCACTTGTCTGCCTCTTCTTCTCCCCGAACTAACAGGCAGCCTACAGAGACACTGAAACGGCCTCTCCTCCTCAACTGCCTTTTTGTCTTCTCCACATAATAGTCAGGGGAAAAAATACAAGTAGGAGATACCATTACAGTAAATCGCTTCCTCTCTCCATTCTACTCCGCCTGCGGCATTCCTTGCATTGTTCACAGTAGCCCATAAGGGTTTGATCCTGCCCCTGTTAACAGTAGCCTGTGAGGACTCAGTCTATCAGAGATTAGCTGCGGACTGTTCCCGCCATGAAATGAGGTTTTCTATTTCCTTTCTCACTATTCATGTCCCTCAGGAAAGACAAGGATGCAGTCTGCTCAATGGGGTAACCTCTCTTAAGTGAAAAAGAAAAAAATTGTCATTTTCATTATGCAATTAACCCTTGCACTTTTGATGGGAGAGTTAAAAACTGTTACTACAATGCAGTCTCCTAAATTACCCACCGGTTTCCTGCCTTTTCGGCTTGTGAAACAAAGCAATGTGTATTTTAATATCGCCTTGCAACCAGTTTCATATGTTGCCTGTTTTTAGAGGTAAAATTACCAAGACGAAACAAAAGCAGCAATTAAAGAAAAGTCCAAAAAACAAATATTACTCAGTGTAGCAGGAATGTGTTTATTTCTGTTTTCTTATCCTGTTAATCATCTAGCACAGTGGTTCCCAGTCTGGGGATTGGGACCCCCTAAAGGGTCCAAAGAACAATCAGAGGGGCGAAAAGATGATTAGATGGATAAAAAACAAACCAAAACAGATTTCTGTCACATAAAAATTTAATTTGTTTTTCAATTTTTGGCTGTTGTTTGGTGAAATGCTGGATACCATGACACCTCAAGGCTTTTTCATTTGAAAATCCATCAAATGAAAGAACCTCCAAAGAAAAACTCTCACTTTGGATTTTCTCTTTGAACTGCTCATGGTTGAGGTCCACTTTGAAGCATAACCTGTGACCATGGTTTGCAAGTAGACATTGATTTACTTTACGGGGTCACAAACCAATAAGCGCGATTGTCACTCCAGCTGACCTCAAGACAGAGATCATGGCCACTCTTTGTGGCGAGCATGGTTAATTGTCCACTGCCAGGCATTTTGGATGATTTTCGTTCAGGAATCTGCTTTGCTCACAATAATCGTGGACTGTGCAGATGAACAAAATCAGAATTCTTACAGATTTTCCCTGCGTATCCTTCTCCCTGTCTCAGGGTTTCCTGGACATCGACCTGACAGACTTGAGGAAAGGTGGGGCGAACATCACCGGCTTCCAGCTCGTCAACAACTCGGAGCCCGGCGTCAGCCGCGTCGTCCAGCAGTGGATGGAGTTTGACAACAAGGACTCCAAAGTGCCCAAGAGTGGACTCAAAGTATTTACCCTTCACTCTCTTCTATCTCTTTTTTTCTTCTTTTATTTTCCTTATTCTGTCTTTAAAGAAGAAGTTGTGCAGTTTATACAGAAAGTCCTGTTGTCAAAGTAAATCCAGCCACGGTTCTTTGTAGTTGTGATCACTGATTTTCTGTGTGAGGTTAGGGTTACCTCAACCTAGCAGGTTGTTATTTCCCCTGTCAGTAGGTTTGCTTGTGATTGTCGGCAGCATATTGGGAAAAGTTATGAAAGGGTTTTCATTAAATTTGGTGGGCAGATAGCCCTTGATCCTATCTACCTTTGAGTTTGTTGAATCAGATGTGGGACTTCTGCTATTAAATGATTATTGATTTTTAGCCATAACAACTGTGCAACCAGCTGAGATAGAAGATTGATTTCAAATCCAAACATTTGTGTATTTATAGAGCCAAAAAAATTAACTCAAAATGCCTTGCCTTTCTTCAGCCAAGACCTGTATGAGTTCTTATTAGTGTCGCTTCTGTTTGAATTGTCTTCTCCCTCTTTGCAGTACACAGGCGCTTTAACATATGACGGGGTGAAAGTCATGTCCACGGCCTTCCAGAATCTAAGGAGACAGAGGATAGACATTTCTCGCAGGGGCAACGCCGGAGAGTGTCTTGCCAACCCACCAGCTCCCTGGGGACAGGGCATAGATATCCAGAGAGCCTTGCAGCAGGTTGGCGCACATACATAGAAACACACACTGATACACGCACACACATGCTCATACATGGACTGGTACGCACACTTTCTCAAATTCTTGAGTGGCACATTGGCTAACGGCTCCTGAGCTGGGTCTGGCTGAACAAATTAGGTCTCATTCTGTCGTGTAAAGTTCACATTAAGTCGTGGGAGAGCTCTCCGGTATCAAATGTGACATCATGGCTAGTAAACAAAACCTGCGGGAAATAACACTGGGCTGTGATCATCATGGAATATGACATCAGCAATTGAGTTTAGAGATGAAATATTTGGCAGTGGAAATGGAAATACTGCACTGGCTGTGCGACCTCTTGATCTCATGCACACACAGACACACTCATGCATCTAAAACCAAGTATATCGAGTAACAAGGACAATTATTTTATATTAAAAACTCTTACTATTTGCAGAAAAACAGTTCTCAATTAAAAAGACAATTAAAAGTTAAATGTTTATTTTCTCTGGGACCCCATTTACATAGACAATGAATAGTGTATAATAAATGCTTCCAATGTTTCCAAGGGCATACATGTAATTGCATGTGAATGAGGAGTGAGTCTGTGTGTGTGTGCCTGTATGTGTGTGTGCCTGTATGTGTGTGTGTGTGTGTGTGTGTGTGGCCTGAGGCTCTGTCTGCAGAGTGGCTGTGCAGAGGCCTGCTCAGAGTCAATCTAGCCATCTGCCTGCGGATAGACTGGAGATTGAAGCCGTGTTCGCTCAATTAACTCCATCACACAGCCAAGACAAACACACTGCACTGTACACATGCACGCACACCGTCTGTCACTCACCTCCATAGGGACCCAGGCACCGTGGATTTTCACGAATGAATAATATACAAACATGTGCAAACTACGCTCGACATGCGTTGCGTGTGAGCGTGGCATGCCAATGCTTCAAGCCAGAGCAGACGTGAAGAAAATGGCTTGTATGAAAATGCTTCACGGCAGCCATTATTTACCCATCTGCCGGGCGAGTCTGAGTCTGTGAGTTACTTATTCAATATGTGTGACTCCATTACAGGTCCGTATAGATGGATTGACTGGTCACATTCAGTTCAACGAGAAAGGCCGCAGAACCAACTACACCGTGAGCGTCATGGAACTGGCCCCATCTGGACCTAAGAAGGTAAGACTGAGGTCGCCTGAGGCTCCAATTTCAAATATTTATTCTTGCTTAAGGACCCTATTTAAAAACTGTGCCTGCAAGCTCATTATTATTATTATTATTTATTGTTTGCTCCTTACACCAGTATTCAATAAGTCCAAGAAAGGTCTAGGCCTGTATCTATCAAACATCTAACAATTTCTGTTAAGAATGCCCTACAGAGATGAAGACTGTAAAAAAAAAAAAAAAAAAAGACTGAAGATTAAGACACATTTAACGAGCGATTTACTGCTACCTACAGCGAAGTGTAAGGGTAACCTTTTAGAACAGCTCTCAAGTGATCCATGATTATTCATGTGAATGGCAAAGACAAGGTCTTATGCTACATCTGCACTGTTGTTCATTCTTTTAAAAAAAATATCCTTATGATTAATTCAGTGATATGGTTTTATTGCAAAAAAAGTGATTTAATTTTTTTTTATTATCTAAAGGCAATAAAAATGTGAAATGTGAAACGATGTAATATTTTTTATAATACACCATATATTTGTATAAGCAGGGGTGAAATAAGAGAAATCTAGCTGAAATGCAAACCATACCGGAGCAGGATAGAAGCTATAGACAAGGTACATGAGAGAAATTTGAGTGTCACATTGACAAGTGCAGACAGTGAAGATGCATGAAAAGTGACAGTCAGTGTCAGCTTTGTTTGTTGTTTGCGCGCCAATAAATAAAAAAGTGATGTAAGCTCCTGTCAAATGGTAAAATCAAATGGTTAAATTACCTTATTCTAAACTATACCCAATAACAGTAAATATGACCAGTGATATTTTGTACAATTGATGTAGATAGGGTGCACACTCCCCTGGGTTTCTGTACTTCAGCCATCAAGCATCTACTCTTGGCCATCTTAGACCTCAAGCTCTCTTAAATTTAAGCACATTTTGTAGTCCTAAGAAATTTGATAAATAGATTTTATTATCAAGTATGTGAGTAGGAGCAAAAGTAAAGGATTTCACTCGATCTAAAATTTCATCTTTAGCACTTTAATAAATACATGCCCTGGATTTCTCCTTGTCTTAGGTCGGCTACTGGAACGAAGATGAGAAGTATGTGACCACCGCCAGCTTCATGAGAGGCAGCAACGAGACTTACGGCCTGCAGAACAGAACGTACATAGTCACCACTATCTTGGTGAGTCTGAGTAAAACAGAGCGGTTTGACGGATTCTTGGGGGAGAACGGGCAGGTGAAATGAGAGACACACAGACAGAGAAAGTAAGGGTAACATTTTTCATTTTCTTTTATGATAGAGTTCCTAAAGGTTCAGGCCCCTGAAAGAATTCAGCAGACATCTGTGATTGTATCTTGCTCCCCTCCTTCCTTTCTCTGCTCTGTTCTGCTAACTTTTCACCGTCTGACAGGTGCCTGCTCAGAATCTGAATCAGAATCTCTTTATTTGGCAAACACAATACAGGTGTAGAAATTTGTCTCAGGATCACTGTCCTACTGGCATGTTGATGAGTTTCAGGCTTAATTCATTACATATTCAATCTACATTTAAAAGACAACACAAGGACAACTCAACTTGACATTTCATGTCAAGAAAAACCGAGTGGAGCGGAAGGCTCCAGGAGTTCATTCCTCATCATTTAAGTAGTTAGAAAGTCCTAAATAGCACTGGAGAACACTTATTTCTGACAGTGTGAAGTGTCATTGTGTCCCTCATTTCTCTCTCCTCCCATAATCTTTATTTGGCTCCGATGTCACCATCAGGCTGTTCAACACGACTTGGCCAGGCTGTGTTAAGTGTCCTGGCCTATATAACTGAGATGGAGCTGGCAGGGTCCGTGAAGGAGGTTGGGTTTGAGAATAGAGAAGAAAAGATTCAGTCTGACCATTTCTCATGGCAGCCAGCTTATCCTGACATTTTCACAAAAGAAAGGACACAGTTGGCAATACCTGGCTGATGTACAGTAGAGGGTAATAAAGATGGTTGCATTTCTCTGCAGGTACAGGATGTTCTCAGTGTCTGCAGCTTGTTGAAAATTTAATATCAGAGAATACGCCATGCGTGTGGACGCCTGGAGCCCAGCACTGGTTCTTTCTGTTCTCCTGGTGTATTTTTCAAGTGGGAATGTCTTTTATCTGTGGGCATTACTGCCGCCATGAAATTTTGTTGGAGTGAGAACAGGCGTAGCTCTTCGATGAGTGGATGAAATGTGTGAAAAGAAAAACACACACACACTACCTGATTTAAGATACTCTGCAGGAGACGTCAGGTCTAGCAGTGCAGTGTGTGTGCAGCTGATCTCCACTGTGAGAGGTTAAGGGGGTAAAGGATTTCAACTATGTGCTTTCCTTAAGAGAAATTCACCCATCACCAGATACAGGCTTGGTGAAGGTGATGGAGCTGAGAGACAATGTAGAATAACAGGGAGAGGCATCGGCACACTCCAATCTGTGCTATTTTATTTTATAGAGAGAAGCTTTCAATCTGGGACCTTGTAAGTGCAGCAAGAAAACAGAAGAATATATAGTGGCATTACCGATGAGAATCATCTGATAACGCTATACTCAAACCATATAAAATATATGAGCAGCTGAATTGGAATATCTGCTCAGCCTGATCAGCCTCCTAGTCCTAATTAAGATATGGGGAATTTCTGACTGCAGCTGTATCTCCCAAATGGGGGAAGGATTTAGTCAAGTGTCAACAAATTTGTGCCACAATGGCTCTAAATAAACTCCAGCATTAACACTAATATAATCAATTCAACTAATTAAAGAAGGAGCTACATATCTTACAGAGTTTGTTTATACCTGATTTAACATTGTTGCAAAGGTTAGAAATATGTCATGAAAAAAACTAGTTAATTTAGGCTACTTTTACATTCATTGTGTGACTGTACAGGGTTAGCTACACCCTGACCATACCAACATTTTCTCACTATTCCCATTCTGACATCATGCATAAGTCCTGACGCAAAAACTTCCTGTGTGACTACACCAAAGGGAAGACTGTAGAGTGGCCCATTTACTTTTAAGAGAAATTATTATTTGATTTAAATATATAGTGTATATCCACATTGGGTCTGCTGTAACCAATTAACACTACATGTTGCAAATGAGGTTGTGTAGATGGCAGAGAAATTGAAACACTGAATTAAATTAATGAATGAATTGTTGAAATTTGCCACTCCAAGTGGTAGAAGTAGACTCAATCAAATCAACCTAACATTGACAGTTCAATTGTATGAAATTATTTTATTATTATTATTATTTTAACAATATCCACTTTTATATATGAATGGTGTTAACTAATATTTAAAATATGACAGGAGGTGTCAGTAAAATGGTACTTGAGAAATGGCAAAAAAGGTTGGCAGCCACTGATGTAGAGCATTAGGTATACTATGTAAAATGTGTAGTCTATTGGCATCTAATTAAAAAACATATGAAAATCCTCATTTAAACCCGAAGGTTGCAGTCTCCCAGGAGTACGGACCTAAAATAACTCTCTCTGACATAATCTCCTATCAGTGTCCCCTTTTCTAAGAAGATAAATTGGTTTTCTGTCTCAGAACCTAAGAGAAGAGATAAGGTGTGAACACTTATTGGGCTGTAGGGTAGCAGGAGAGTTTTTGCAACTTATAACTTTTGTGCCGACTGATCCGTCGCTTCAGGGAGAATGTTGTTTTGCCAACGTGAAGGTATCACTTCACGCTTTCCCTGCAATCCCTGCTTTCCCAGCCTGTGCACACAGACCAAGCCTGGGCTAACAGGATATCTGGAGGAGTGAAGCAGGACATGTTTAATGGAGCACCTGAGCTTGTTGTCTCCAGGATCATGGCTTTACACTAAAACCAGGCCATGACTGGAATTTTAAGGGTTAGTTTTAGAAGTTGGTTATTAATGGCACTCACTGTGTGCAACTATTAAAATAAGTGCAGTTATTTTGATAGGCAAGAAATTTTAGCATTCAAGAGCAAATTGTGTGATTTTCAAAGCTCCATCAAGGTCTGTTTAACTTCACTAACTTAAATTTTTTTTTACCCCTGATAAAAATAATCAAACATGCTTTGATTATTACACTTTTCTTTGATTCTGTATACTTGCAGTGTGTGTGTTTACATTTGTACACATAATGTGTATTTGAAATATGTTCTTGAGTGTATGTGTGTGTGTCTGTATTATATTTAACACGGTTGAGTGACAGCGGATCTCAGTGGAACAGTTCGAGGTCGATGAGACTGAGTCCGGGAGGACTGTGTGTATGCCGTGCCATATCTCTGTGTGCACGCACGTGTATCTGTGTTCACGTGTCTATGTGTCTGTGTGTGTGTGTGTGTGTCTGTGTGTCTGTGTGTGTGTCTGTTTTTGTCTGTGACTTTGAGTGCAAGTGCACAGCATGTAGAAGGACTGCATGCCAGACCTTTCTCCCCACTCTCTCCCTGGGGTGCCGTTTTTCTACCATTGGGCCTCGGGTTTCCACGTGTAACAATGATTACGTTCACCTCAACCATAAAGAGCAGGAGAACCCAGATAACTGTTACAAACAAAGGAAACCCCCACTCCACACCGTCTCTAGACCCTGATGAAATATGGTGGCAGGATTTGCTCAGCTCAGCACAGCCTTAGCTAAAAGCAGACACACATAACAACTTGTGGGAATTGAGGCCCTGCTCGTGCTGGTGGACAATACAGACTGACTGGTATTCTATATGAAACACATTTTTCTGAAAGTAATGTGAAGCACCAGGTGTCATGTCAGCTGTAATTTTTCAGGACATCCAATCAGTGTGAGATGTACAAATGTCAGTGTGATATAACAAGAAGAACAGCCTGGCCCCGGAGCAGAGGTCAGCAGTGGCTGCTGCGCCGTCTACATGGCTCAAACATACACACACACACACACACACACACACACACACACACACACATACACTTCCTTTTCCCTCTCAGATCCAATGTCTTCTCAGCTTTAATAACCCTGTCCAATTCCTCCGCTTCCTCACAGCCTGCTGCATGTTATCAACACTCCTTTCAACACGACAACACTGTTGTAATGATCATACTTAGGCACGTTTTGTATTTGAATTACACACCATACCTTCAAGGAACAAAGCCAAAATAATACCTTGTAATTTCATAGAATTATCTTTTCTTCCAAACCTTTCACAGCAGCAATTATATTTTGGGCCTAGTAAGATTTTTTTTTTTCCCGAGCCTTAGCTTTGAATAAGGGTGGGATGTGTGTGTTATGAATTGCACTGTAGCACCAAATGTATCAATAATATTGCTTCCCAAAATTTACACATAGTATTATTAAACTTAACTACATACTAAAGCTTTATCACAAGCAATAACGCTGTCTTTGGCTCAATTAGCTTAACAAATTGTCATGCTGTAAATGTTATGTTACTTACTGTCACAACGGCTTGTGTCAAGAAATGCATATCAGCGTAGATTTTGTTTTCACATCAGTGAAATTCTTAATTACTTCAAAAACACGTCACTCATTTCCTGTATGTGATTTTTGACACTTGAAGTAAAATTGATGAGAGGAGAAAAAAAAAAAAAAAATTCTGTTGTTACACATGGGTTCCCTACATCTAACAGGAGTCTCCGTATGTGATGCTGAAGAAGAACCATGAGCAGCTCGTGGGAAACGATAAGTACGAGGGCTACATCGTCGAGTTGGCTGCAGAGATAGCCAAACATGTGGGCTACCAGTACAAACTGAAGATTGTTTCAGATGGCAAGTATGGAGCCAGGGATCCTGAAACCAAGATGTGGAACGGCATGGTGGGCGAACTGGTGTATGGGGTGAGTGGACAGATTTGTGTTGGATTATTCTGCATTTAAAGGTGGAAAATACACATAACGTCTAGAGTTTTAAAATACCCCAGTGGTAAAATCAAAAAGACAAAGACTTGAAAAGGACTAACTACAACAATTTTCACCAGGATAGCCTTTTTTTCTGCAACCAAAAGCTTACAACATGAGAATAATTTAAAGGTTGCTGCAATCACTTAACAGCGTGCTAGCTTCCAGCTCTGTAACACAGTAATCAGGCACAGTGGTGCTTTCACCTGAATATGTCAATGCTAATACAATAACGTTTAGCAGGTATCATGTTTACCATGGTCACCATCTTAGTTTCATGTGTTAGCATGTGTACATGTGCTGATTAGTAGTAAACACAAAGTATAGCTGAGGCTGACCGACGTTAGCTTTCGCAGAGAAATGCAGCTAACGGGTCTAAAAAGATTCCTTATTTTTTAAAGTTTATTACTACAGCTGGTCTTGCCATATGTAGGTGTTTGGTAAAGAACTCTGGTTTGCACAATCCTGTTGTTTTACCATTAACAAACTGCAGAACATAAAAGACGGACAGATTGATGGTGCAGTGTATTTCTGTTTATGGCCCTGTCTGTCTTTGGTTTTTTCCATCAGAAAGCAGATGTGGCTGTGGCTCCTCTGACCATCACCCTGGTCCGTGAAGAAGTCATCGACTTCTCCAAGCCCTTCATGTCCCTTGGTATCTCCATCATGATTAAGAAACCCACCAAATCCAAACCTGGTGTGTTTTCATTCCTGGACCCACTGGCTTACGAGATCTGGATGTGCATAGTGTTTGCCTACATTGGCGTCAGCGTCGTCCTCTTCCTTGTCAGTCGGTTCAGCCCGTACGAGTGGCACGCTGAGGACTACGAGGAGGGAGGTGAGCCACAGACTCCCACCCAGGCTGCAGCCTCTAACGGAATGCAGCAGGGCCAGACACCAACTCAGCAGAACACCAACCCACAGAGTCCTGAGCAAACCAATGAGTTCGGCATCTTCAACTCCCTTTGGTTTTCACTGGGCGCCTTCATGCAGCAGGGATGCGATATCTCACCACGGTAAGAAACTGAGGCCACAAATTTTGCTGCACTGCATCCACGGTCCTTTGAATCGCTTCTTTTGTTTGTTGGTACACAAAGAGACACTCAGCGCCACCTACATACAATGTATTTATGTCTGCCACACCAACGCTTCAACATGCTGTGTTGCTTTGTTGTTCAACTCAGCTGAGCATTGTTTGTTGAGATTTGGTTCTTTGCCAGTCACTTGTCATACAGAGCAATGCTGAAAGTTTGATGAAGAGCAGCAGAGGTAGTTTAGGATGTGGTCATGTTGTAGAGTGTTGTGTTTTCATTCTCCTGTCTCCAGACACTGCCTGTGGTGGTATTAAGATGCCATGAAGTTCTCGGACTAGTACTGTTGTTACTGCTGTTAATCTATCTATCTATCTATCTATCTATCTATCTATCTATCTATCTATCTATCTATCTATCCATCTATCCATCTATCCATCCATCCGTCCATCCATCCGTCCATCCGTCCATCCGTCTATCCGTGGGTAAAGGTAAATATCAGACCCTTGAAAGGCTGTTATGAAGGATCCTGGCGTGAGTATTGAGTGGTATGTGTTGGCTCCCCTCGAGTGCTCTCATGAGCTGTGGCATGAAACCATTCTCAAAAGGTCACCAATTAAAAATCTCATTAAGTGTCTGAAATTAGAGACACTGAGGTCGACTTTCTGAGCTTTCCAGGGGGACTTGGAGGAGGAGATGAGATGATAATGTCAGTATTATCACGGTAAGAACCAGCAGAGACAGGTTAGGTCACGGGTAGAGATAAAGCATTGTGTCTCTTTAAACATTAAGCTACAAATGCATTATGTATATACGTGCAGTGGGCTGGTGCATGTATGCATAATCTATCTAAACTGTAGTTACTATACCGTGAGGATGGAGAGGCTGAAGTTGTTGCTTCGGTTTGGATTAGAAACTGAAAAGTTTTTAATGTCACCATCCGTTCATAAATACGGATGTGTACTCAACAACTTGAAAGAAATTGTGGGAGACACTTTCATGTCTGTATGGTAAATAAGGAGGTGGTTTGCTCAGAGTAGCATAAAGGCTACAAACAGCTAGCCTGGCTTGGTCCAAAGGTAAAGATAAATGTCAGTTTTCATACAGATTAAACAAAACTGCTAAACATTAGCTAGACAGGACAGTTAGATATGAGAGTGGTATTGATTTTCTCATCTAACTCATCAGTGTTTGACTATGGTTTGAAAATTGATTCTCCCAAAATGCAAAATACAATACAAAAAAACAAGTTTATAGAGATAATCATTCCTCAGATAATCATTCCTTTCTCCACCATAAATCTAAAAGGATATGAGAAAAAGAATCCAGTAGCCATGTCTGTTCCCAGAGACAGTGTATGGCTGCTCTGGCGGTTTGATGGAACACACTGAGAACTGTTTTCCAAAAGATCCCATAACTAGTATATAGAAAGAATCCTTGTGAAGTAAGTGCATCATCACTGCATCATCCAAGCTGATCAGTGACCCACAATAGGAGACATGTTGTGTTGTAAGGCTCATAGGTCTGAATGTAAGTATTTGTTTTAGAAGGGAGTTGCCAAGAAATAGCAGTGGTGTTGAATCAACCTTCCCTGACTGAGTATCTGAAGGTTAAAGAAATCATAGCCCTGTGCAGCACTCAATTTTATTTATCTTGGCTTCCATCTTGTGACATTTACGGAATGTATTTCCACTTTGCTCTTACATTACACAAATCTCTGCACCTACAGGGCTGCATCCTGCACATAGGTGCTCAGCAGTACATGATGTAGGTACTGGATCCCTACTCCCACAGGCCCTCACTTGATATTTACCATGTTCTGCCTGGAGACTCCACTGCGCTTTGTGCAGGATGAAGCCTATTGTCCGAGTGTTTTTCTCTTACAGGCAGAAAATGCATCTCCAATAACTATTGATTTCCTTGTACGCCGTACGGAGAGAGGCAGAATGTCACCGTGCTTCTGCAAATTGTACATTCCCCCTTTGTATCCACACACACACATGTTTTGTGTGTGTGCATGTGCGTGTAGGTTACTGTGTGTGTGCTTGACCGTACATGGATTTGCACATATTCGTACGGTATCTGCATTTGTTTTGCCTGCGGGGAAAACAATCTCTCCTGATGCAAGACCTTTCACTGACTGTTTAAAGGGATAAAACAGATCACTTCTGTTCTTGCAGCAATCCTGGTGATGCTGCTACTGACTGTAAAATTAGACAGCTGTAAGGCATATTTCATCATCGCTTGTAGAATAACTGTAACCAGGCTGTCGGCCTGAAGTTCCATTTACCCACTAATAATGAGAGATGTGCCACACAGTAGTAACGATGAAAGTATGTCGAGTTTTTTCTGCCCGGTAACAGCAACAGTTTTCATTTAAAGTATTTTGGGATACTTAACCCACACTGAAGTGCACCCAGACATGTACTGGTCCATGCACATGTTCTCATTTAAATAGGTTTCAGGTAGAACAGAAGATTTCCTTAGTGTCATCAGTGAGGGTGGCAGCTTCAAGGGCTCATATCCTGCAGGGACTTGAGTGAGATATCTTCCTTTACTTACAGTGTCCTTTCAAGGTGACTCTCATTGTGGCTTTTGTGTTGTTAATAAAATACTGTTTGGGAGTCAGTATTGCAGCCTTAAAAAAAAACAAAAAAACACACACACACAAAAACAAAATAAAATCCAGCAGTCCAAGGTGTAGCGATCAGCATGGTGGAGTCTGCTTGGTGTCTTGAAAACCAACACAGTGAATGTTTCACCCCACTGAGTTCTGCCCTGAGGCAAACATCTTCCCCTTGAAAATTTGGGTGACCTAGTTGCTCTAGTTAGCACAGCGCATATTCACACAATGAGGTGCATGTTGATCTCCTAAAGCGGCATCAGTTTCTCTCTGCTAGATTTAAAAAGACGTGATATTATTGTTCGTGGTTTGTCAGATGAAAGCAGTAGCGCTTGTAACCTCACATATTTTTTGTCATGGTTTCACAATAACACAGTGTGCCTTTTCATTGGGCTGTTGGGACTTGAGAGTTTTTTTATCCAGCCATGCTTTTTGTTCTTGTATGCATACAGGTTTGCTGTGTTTGCTCATTACTTTAGATTTGTTTGGTCTAAACTCATTTACATCCTGTATTTATGTACTTTGTTTTTTCCAACCTATTTCCAGGTATGTAATTAGAATTTGGTTGTATAGATGAATCATACAAGATCTATCATATAATTATAGGTAGTTGGACGTGATTAAATTAAGATGCCTTCCCATTTAGATGTTTTCCTGTAGCAACTTGAGGTCTTTTCTGCTTTCTTCTTGTCTTCTGCATACTGCAATTTAATTTGACTGAAAGTATGTCTCAAGGTTTTCAAACAGATGATTTTAGGTATTTGTACAGTAACAATAGAGTCTGAGAAAATCAGCACAACATCACATAGTTTACAGAGGTGGAAGCAGTAAAAGTAGCAATACCACTCATAAAAACATAAAGATACACCATTAAAGTACAAATCCTGCATCTAAAATTTTACCTACCTAAAAGTAAAGATATATTTAGCAAAAAATGTATCAAAAGTAAAAGTGATACATTGTTATTGTGTTGGAATTATTGATGAATTGACATGTGAACTGTAATTTATTGTCAGCTGATTGTGTATAAAATCTTAGTCTAATAGTTAACTAGCTTTCAGATAAAAGTAGTGGAGTAAGGTAAATGTTTCCCTCTAAAATGTAATAATGTAGTAGTTCAAGTTGAATATAAGTGAATACTCAAATAAACTACAAGTGCCTCAAAATTGTATATAAATTCAGTATTTGGATAAATGACACTTTTCTATGGAAGAGTATCTGTCCTTCATTTTGATACTACTGATTCAAGCCCATATGACACCTAGTTAGTTGGCAAACTAAGTAGGTAGGATGGGCAGCCCAATAGCATAGGTTAGTTACAGTGTTTGCAGTATGTTTATTTACAGCAGTAGCTCCCTTCTCAGTAGAATTAGTTTGACATTGTGGCAGCTCTAGCTAACAGGAGCTAACAGGCTATATTTGGTAGCAACTATTGATGGGTGATAACAACTTAAATTAAAATGTAAAAGTTTTGAAAAAGGTCTTTATAAAATAAACTATAACTATAAATCTATAACGGAATAAAATTGAACTCCAATAATTATTATGAAAATAAGAACGCTGCTATCATTTTAATAATTTCTGAAAATTATTTCACAAAGTATTGGTTTATTTATATAGTTTCTAGACTTATTTCATATTTTCTTATTTTTGAATGTAATATTGAACAGGTTGTGGCTCCTTTCGCTGAACGACTGGTAGTTTATTATTGTCTTATTGTTGCAGAATCTTACATTTAGAATGTAAAAGACATTTTATTTATGGTGTTGCTGGTGTTTCTGAGCAGGTTCTTATAAAGCACTCATCATTGTGCCTTTATCACTAATAGGTGAAAACAGAATGTTCTAGAGGTGCATTCAGCCCTGAGGTAGGCAGCTCCAATTACTTTTACGCTTTACGCTTCTTCATTTAATAAGAGACAAAAGGCCAAGGAACAACACTGACGATCCACTCTGTCCTGGATTAATCAGTAGGCGTGTTTAATTTCCCTGTCTGCGTGTATCATTTCATTTGTGTGTGTGTGTGTGTGTGTGTGTGTGTGTGTGTGTGTGGGTGTGTGGGTGTGTGTGTGTGTGTGTGGGGGGGGGTTCTATTAAAAGCAAGCATTTACTGCCATTCGCTTTGTCTGCTGCATAACAGTATCTGATTGGACCAGTCTAAAGGTATCTCTGCGTCAAGGTGTCTGCATCAGCTCTGTGTGTGTGAGTGCTTGAGCTTGTGTAGTGTGTGTGTATACATGCTTGTAGGCATGCATTCATACATTGATGTGATGCATTAATGTGTACAGTACGTATTTTTGTGTGTGTGTGTGTGTCTGTGTGTGTCCTCTCCCCCTGCTATTTATTCTCTGTGAGACCTTGTT